TCACGCCGAGCTGCATGATAGGCAAGCACACGGAAGCAAGCCTCCACAAGGCCTCCTCCAAGGTGTGCAGCTCTTGCAACCTGAGAAGCATCGCCCAAGACTCAAAGACTCAAGACGAAGATGCCGCTTGACAGCCCTCTCTCTCGAGATTCTTCATTGCGGCTCCGGGGCAAATTATGGATATTCTCGTCCTTCATCGCACAGGAGATGGCCTTCAAACAATGGCTGCACTTGGTGCTTGCAAGAGGGCTGACAAATCTTGAGTTTTCCAGGTCCAGAAATTTGGAGCAAGGCTGGCGCACTTCATCTGTAGACAAACTTGTAGTGCCAGAAACCCCGCCTCCAAGCTGCTGATGACATGGCCGCCCTCCGACTCAATAATGATGTGAGTCTTGAAGAACCACTCCTCATCGACCAACCTGAGTGACAAGCATTCTCTCCACCAAGCCGTCCCTGCAGAATTTCCATCCTTTCGCCTCGGAGCCCCGTGAAGCGACGGAGCAAACGCAAGTTGGAGGGCTTGATGGGACCTGGACCGAGCAAAGCTTTCAATCTACTGGAGGTGTGTGGAGCTGCTCTGCACACCACCGATTCGAAGCTGTGCCTGCAGGGTCCAGACGCTCCCAGTTGTTCAGCACGCAGCCGGCATAGTCAAGCATAGGGCGTCTCTCGAGTCTTTCCTCAGCTCCGTGAAGGTCTTTGCTGTGGCACTGGCTACTCCCAGCAAGTCAAGAAGGCCATGGCGGCCAGGGCGCACTTACGCAGATCCATGGCATCGACAACCATGCGGGCAAGTGGTCCAAGTCTGGCCGGCGACCTCGCATTTACTCTGCGAGGTTGTTGCTCCAGCCGGCAGATCTTATATATCGTTTCACTTGAGAGGATGCTAGACTGCCAGAACCCAAGCTGCCCTTGATCAATGTTCATATCATATTGCCGGCTGGCCCAGAATATCCAGCTTCACTGTCTGGCCCTTCTCGTACACGTCCGGTGGGCCATGGAGGTAGGCGAGGCAGATGTATCCTCCCACAGATATTACGATGAAATTACGCTTCAGAGTTCAACCACAAAGTGAAGCGCGAACAGCTGGTCAACTACTCGGCATGCAAGTTTTGTGGCCCTTTGATGCTCGCTTGTTCCTGGGCAACTTCTGACCAAAACAGCCACAAACCATCAATTGAAGCACGAAATCCATTCAGAGATTCGTTCATGCTGCTACCGCGAAGCGCGACTCAACCAGGGCGATTTGCGACTCACTGCTCCTATTCATGGCGAGTGCTGATCTCGTCTCACATCCGTGCGTCGTGGGCTCCGACTTCCAAACCTCCCGACCGCAGGCCTAGCAGCGAGTGGAGGCTCTCTGCCTCACCCTCAGAGAGGACGTCCAAGGCCTCCTTCCATCGAGCGTGGGGGTTCTTAAATCCTAGGCTCGAGGAGAGAGGTGCCAAGGCAATGTTGCAAGGGTGTGGTTATGCTTCACCCCAGAATCGCGGAGCCCAGATAGCTCCAGGCAGTGGGCCCGGTGGGCCTGATCCCGGCAGTTCGAGACGACAACAGCTCTGGCCACACCAAACGAAAACGACGACAACCAAAGGGCGCTGGCCGGAGTCCTTGATGTCTGCACGATTCTGGGGGAGCGCGTGGCTGAGCCTGGAAACATTTTGGAGAGGACCTTCTCATGTGAGCTCAACCCCAAGTCTAACACAGATGCAGACTGTCGAAAGATGGGTCAACATCTCAAAAGCTCTGGCAACACAACGCTCAAGCTCCCATCAAACGGACGACGACCTACGAGATGTCAACCTGTAAAAGTCGAGAAGCTCTCTTTCCGCAGCTGTGCGGAACTTGCCATGCACTGTCAGCGACGGCAGCACTTCCTAAGACTCCAGCACAGCCAAAGCCAGCGAAGTCTTCTTTTGTCAAGCATAGGAGCTCACGCTTTCTGCGGGTATCCCAAGCCAGCCAGCCAGAAGATTCCACAGCTGTTTCTGAAGGGCATGCAGGATTGATTCTCCTTGAAGGATACACATATCGTCTATGCTCATGATGCTAAAACCTCAATTCAAAGCAGGCACCGAGAGCTTCACCAGCCGGTCCCATGGAGCCGGAAGCTCCTTCACCTGGGACGTGCGCGCGAACACGCGTACGGGATATGTGTACGATGCGCCTGCACGCGCGGACACCCCTGTACACACATGCACACCTACAGAGATAGATATATATATATATATATATATATATATATATATATATATATACATATATATATATATATATATATATATATGGTCACGCGCTCCGCGCCCCCCCCCCCCCCCGCAAAGGTCAATGGTCCGGATATAGGGTGGGGCCCTGCCATCCCCTGTGGTGTGGGGTGTGGGGTCGCTCTTCGCCCTGTGGGGTGGTTGTGGGGTTTGGGGTTTAGGATAACGTCGAAGTAACAGTCGACTAGGCTGTAGCATTGACAGCCAATTAAGGCTTCTCCAGCCATAAGACAATTGCTCAACCAATACTGACAGAAGCTGAAGCTTGCATGTACACATCATGTTGACATGCGCCAGACATCAATCCATCTCAAAGAGAGACCTGAGTCCATACAGCAAAGTTCCTTACGAACTCCTGACTTCGAAGTGAAATTGACTCGAAACTCAGCGTGATCCTATCGAACACGGCAGTCGCCCTTCTCACAAAAACCTCACAAAGGCCGACAGTGTTGTGTTGTAAGAATATTCCCCTTGCAGATGACGGTTTTGTGCAGCTCGGAACTACTCCTCTTGGTTAGGTGGGGTTTAGGGTTGGGTGTAGGGTTTAAGTACAAATTAAGGTTACTCAAAGCAGGGGCACGCTCTGCGTTATAGGGTTTACGACTTGCTTGCGAGGGCTTGCGTGTGAGCCCTGGCCGCCAGCACCACCCCACCATCCAGTGGCAGCTCTTACGGCCCCAACCCCTTTCCACACAGGCCAGCCCCACCCCCCCCAGCCCTAGCAGACCATACCATTTGGGGGGGGGGGGGGGGGCTGGGAACGCAAGACGCCTGACCCCATATATATATATATATATATATATATACACACACACATGCGTGTGTGTATGCGTGTGTATACATACATACATACATACATACATATATATGTATATATATATATATATATATATATATACAGTGCACTATCTAGCCATTTATCTTGCTTGTTCCACTTGTCTGTCTCCAAGTCACATCTTCATCACGCATACATCTAAAACCAGTCTGTCGTTCATGTCTTTCCTGCTGTCTGTCTACGGTAACTCATCTCCCCTGAGATAAAGACGAGCCAATACAGTATTCATACACATACTTACATGCATGCCTACGTACATACGCACGCGCATACGTACATACATACAAACAGACAGACAGGCCCAGACAGACGGACGGACAAACAGACTCGCATGCTTACATGCCATGCTTAAGTAGGCATTCATGTATGGTTGTCGGGCCACTAGGACCAATGCAAGAGAGACGCTGGATCAGCACATGGAAGGAAGCCACACTCTTCGACATTCCACCACGACTCAACCTGCATTCGGCTGCTTATGCGTTGCGCGTGGGTCCTGGAGGCAAGGGACAAGCCATCTAAGCCGCAGGAAGAGATTAAGAAATACAGTAAACAATGCCAACCAACTTCGGACGACCGAATGCGGTAAAACCGCAACATGCGGAGTCGCGCCCCTGAGCTGCCACCTACATTGCGAGTATTTGAGAGTCACAACGTTGCCGTTGCCTGGCCCGTCGCAGGTGAAACAACCGAGGCACCTGGTTGATCTTCAGTCGGCTGCCCTGTCGTCCCCCGGTGAGCTGCAGCGGCTTTGCAGGCTCGCTGGACTCACTGGTTTTGGCAGAATCGCAGATTCCAACCTGGAAGGGGATGCCATGACAGAAAGGCATACAGGCATACGTCGTGTAGCATCTGCTGCGGTCTTGTCAGGCGATGTGAGCCGTCCGAAGTGTTGCCAGGAAGCGAAAAGCTTTTCCATCTGCACAAGTGCTGCACTTGAATGGCGCATGGTCTCAAACTCCACGGTGGCATCTCGGCCAGCCACACCTAGCCTGAGTGTCAGCACGGCCCGGGCACGCCGACTCACACCAAGATGGCAGCCACTTGGGAAAAATTCCACTTTGCCAAGAGGCAGGAGGTCTGCCCCTCCGGGATGCCTCTCAACATAGTCGCTCCTTAGCGCCAGGGCTGGCATGTCTACGTTTGAAGCGATGACAGAAGCGAAGCCTGACCGGCCAAAACTCAGCCTTGGTTGCTCACCTCCATAAGGGGCCCACTGACTTGCAGTCCCAACACTGGCAACCAGACTGCTTCTCTGCGCACTGGGCCCCACCTACCTGCACCCCTCACAAGAGCAGCTTGTTGCCACGAGCGTCAAGTTGTAGACCTTGCCAAAAATGATCACCCAGCCACGAGAGCGAACCTCTTGCAGGGAGATCCTTCGGATGTCCTCCACGTCTCGCCGCCTGCACAGTGCTGGTTCCACGTATATTCTAAACAAATATGTAAGTACATATTATACATATGTGTATCATGTATTTACATATGTATATATATATATATATACACACATATATATATATATACATACATATACATACATATATGATCATATATGTATCTAGGTATGTTGGAGAATATATACATATATGTGAAACGGTCACGACTGCGGTGACAGCACGATGGAATGAATGCACCAGATCGTTCGACGACGGCCACGGCCTTTGTGGGCAGGCATTTCCCATGGCTCGCACTGAGCATCAATGGGAAAACATGGCTTCCGGAGGACTCGAGCCTTTCAAGCAGCGACGGCAAAATCTGCAGGTGAAAGACGCACGCTGAACCCGGTCGGTGGCCAAGCCCAGCGTAATCGCAGTTCAATATGCCCGTTCACCACTTCCATCGCTTCCATGCCACATGCCAGTACCGCATGCCAAAGACCCTGAAAGGCTCGAGGCTCGAGCTGGCAGGGCGGTGCGTGGACCTGGCGTCACGCCCTCTGCTAGGTCCTCTCCAGCCCTCTTCAAGGCCACGGGCCCAACAAAACCTCAGCCCTTAGATTTACAAGTCCTGCTACTACCGAGGCGAAGACAAACAATCCTCGCAAACAGATCCAGTTTTCACCCTCCACGCTTCTCGGCCTTTGCTTGTATCGTCAAGAGGACCTTCTTTGGGACCTAGATATTTTGAGTGCGATGGAACAACTGAGCCAGAGCATGCCAGGCTGGGAGGTGCCCATTGCCCGGGACCGGTCACATAGCTAAAAGCATTCACCGACAAGAACGTCGAAGCTCAGTTGTAGCAAGCACGGATTCACAGGTTCGCCGCGGCATCTATCTTAAATGCTAGCGCGTGAGACTTTGGCGCTCGCCTTACGCCCGCTTTGGTCTATAAGCAGCTGGCTTAGCCTCGATCTTCGCGTCAGCTCGCGTACTTGACAATGACCAATGACCAACAAACGGCGTAACGGCGAGCGGCTAGTGAGGCTTTCAGAGGCCTTTGTCAGACCTCCTGCCCTCTATTCCTCGGGGACAGTACCGTCGCTATTCGAATGTATACCGTCCTCCTGGATGTCACATGCTGAACAAAACGTGCGAGAACCCCTGAGCCTCCCATGATGTCACACAGCACAAAACCAGGCAGTCATAGGAAAATGCGGAGCTGCATTGGCCCCACATTGGAATCAGAAATTGCTGCGTCACATCTGGGACTCTTCGAGGCTGTCGGCATCTTATTCGAACGAAGGGTATCGTTGGCAAGCACAGGGAGTGGACCACACACTTCCACCCGATCCGATGCGAGTACGGTTGGCACATGTTTCAAGTCTGCTCATGTTCTGCTGGAGGCCGATATTAAAATTTAAAAGGCTCGGGGAACGATGCGGTGCTTTGGACAGGATCGGATAGTTGGAGGCATGTCATGCCGCAAGATTCTGGAAATTGTTCGCTTGCGGATGAAAAATTCGCTTGCGGATGGAAATTCAAAATTTCAGCATGGGGCTTGCAAGAGATTCTGTACAGACCTTAGTGGGGATCATGTGGCTGGAGCCAGCCAGCCTGCTTCTCAAAGTGAATTAGTCCTCCTGTCGACTGGGCTTCCATCAGCCCACGAGAGTAATTGGTCCTCAGCGCACAGCGAAGGCCTCTGGGCCTCTGTCTGAACTTGCTCTCCGCTTCGTGCTTCATCCCAAGTAACCAATATACTAAATGCTTGTAATTAACTCTTGCTCCCTTGTAGTACACAACGGCGTCCAATTGTAATTAGTATAGTCCCACACACACGCACACACACACACATAGTGCGTTACAAAGCTACTCGCATATACACCCGTTCAATACGGCCACGGTTCTCACCGCAATCCGCTGCCTCCTGGGCTTGCAGGTCTTGGGCGGCACCGGGCAGCGTTTGATACGACCTGCACAAAGAAGAATTCGAAAGGAGGCAGAACAAGACTACTTGGTTTTCTGACTACAGGAATGGGACAGCAGCCGTGAACTTCCCGGACTGTTGCCACTACCTTCGCGGTCGTAGTAAGGATTGGCCCCTCCGAAGGAGAACACACGCTGCTTGAGAGCGCCCTGATTACCTCAGAGGACAGGGAGCAACATGTTTACAAGATCATGTTCACAAGATCCGTTTCAGTGAGCCAGGTTCAGTTCTGAAACATACACTGCGCCTTTCAAAGGGCGAAGATACCTGTTGAGGAGTGCAGGTTCGCAACTGTGCCCCAGCATGTCTTCGACGCTTGCACTGCGAATTTATGTGCACCTTCGGCTCTGTCGGAAAGGACTCTTCTTGCTCTTCTTCAGGCTCCAAACCCCCAAGCGGTGCTTCCCCGTAGCCCAGACGTGAAGCGTGCAAAAATTCCCTATGCGACACCTCAATATGTTATATCACAAATGACATGCGGCTTTTGGAGCCGCCTGGCCTAAGCCGCATTTCATGTGCGGCTGAGGCTTGACTCTGGGACCCGCCAGACACTGAGTCACGACTCAGCCGCTACTGAATCAGAAAACGACTTCACTGTTCGATTGTGACCATCACTGCGTAAAAAAAGTCCACCCTCTCGGTTCCTTTGCTTTTTACTGACCCACCGCGCCGGGATGATTCAAACGAAGATGGCACTCGCCTTCCCGACTCATATTAAGCTCCCTCCCCAACGGCAGAAACTAGCTTTGTTAAGGATTCTTGTTGCTGAAAGCATTCGGAACCCAAGCCATGATGGGATAGTCCAGTTGCGCATCTGGGCATTGACCGGCGCACGCGAGTACGTAGGGTCGACCACAGCGCAGAATGCAAGGTAGTTGAACCTCGCTGGCTAGGATATGGCAACTGCGCGACAACTAAACGAGGGCACATGTAGGCAGGACAGCTTGCCGCTGAGCCCCAGATCACGATGGAGATGTCAGTTTCATCGGTTTCATTTCTTATACGCTATACTGCTATGCTTGCATAAGCATGGGAACCCTCAACCAGTTCGGCTTTCAAGGCTTTGCTTCCGAGAGGCTCTTTTCCACTCTCCTGGGCTGCGGCATCACCCTCACGCGTCGAGTCTTTAAATTCACATATCTCTATAAGGCAAACTGCGTGCTGCACAGACCACCGAACATGGAACACAGGAAGAACCTCACAAGAAATTAGCTGTCTTCGCTAAGTTGGTCTTGGACAGTGGACAAGCTCTGTAGCCGAGTAGCAGTGTCGCAATATGCTTTGCAAACCACCTGGCGCCAATGTCAGACTGCCATGAAGACTTTCAGCTCGGGCATCTCTAGCGGAAATTCCGGTATTCGTAACAGGAAAACTTGAAGGTCGACAAGACCGGCAGAAGAGAAATACAAACGAATCACACCAACCTCCAGATCTTCTCGCGTGATGGATTTGACACTCAAATCATCCATGACCTCACGCAAGAGCGTTCTGTGCATCAGCCACGCAATGGGTGTAAGAAGAACGTCAAGCTGGACCCAGCCGAGGTGCCCTCCAAAAGTGCAGTGCCAGTACGTGGCCGTAGCATGCCTGCCCAGGCTTCCTTGGCTCTTGCCAAAGTTCCAAAGATCCACTTGGCTAATCCTAAATCTCGTGCCAAGCTTCGCATAGTTCTCGAAGAGTGCCGCTGCATCCAGTCCTCTTGCACGAACATGCATGGCCACGGCGCTGTGTACCTGCAGGAATCACGGCTGTCGCACAGGAAAGCTAGCTGTCACCAGTCACGCCTGTGATGCGGATCCGATTGTGTCATGCTAGGAAGGCACGCTGTGCTGAACGCAACAAGCAACGACAGATCCAAGCTCTATCCCTCTGTGGGCGATTCACCATGTCGCACGAGTGCCCCGGTGGCCTTGTCCAAGATGGCCCTGACGACGGGGCTCGTGACTTGCGGCCGTTCATTCGAAACATATCCCGCTCTTGCTTTGGCCTCAGGATTCAGCGTGGCATGGTTGGAACGTCTGCACTTACAAAGACACGCCGAGCACTCTGCAACAACCACGAGCCCGACCCTTGTAATTAAGTACTTAAGCTGACGGCCAGTCTCTCGGGCATTGTCAAGAGGCCAAAAGGCCGGCAAGAGCGGCTCAAGTCCAAGCAGCGGTCTTTGTTTCAGTCTTCTCGATGCGCTGCCGATTGGCCGCGTCCAGCTCCGAGCAGAAGTCGTTGTAGCGGAATCGCCCATCGGAACTTTTGTACCTCAGACGTTGCGCCGCACTGCTCTGAGACAGATTGAAGGCCAGGTCTTGCCTGATGACTCCGTCTTGCAAACACGCTCCCGGCAGGCCTGTCGAAGAGTTGCTGCACCTCCTCGGGACGTAGTCTGAGACCCATGGTGGTGAGGCCATTCTTGAAGCCGCCTTGCGAGACCACACCTCAGTGCTCAGCGCAGCAATCAGGGTAGCTCCGCCTTTCTCAAGCCATTGGGTCCAGCCTTTCTTGAGCGGGTCGAAGTCGGCGAAAGAATCCCACAGTCGCACGCGGTGAGTCATCAAATGTGACAGAAGCGTCTGCCTCGGTGCCCAGAAATCTTCCACGAGATTGCTGTCGTCCTTACTCGATACGCGTAGCACGAACGAGAACCCTGTCAAGCCAGGTCGCATCACGTCGATCTTCGGCTTGGAGTACCGTGCACCGGCTGTTTGAGGCCGCGGGGGCAGCTCTGCAGAAGCACGAGGATTCCTGCACCCAAGAGATCTGGCCAGACTTGGCACGAGGCCGGTCTCAGTATGCTTGAGCTGACGATGCCGTCAGGTTCCACACCAGTCCGAAATATCCAAAACTACACCAAGCATGACTGCAATACGGGTCTCTCACTTAAGTATCAGCAGCGGGCCGGCTACAGCCGGCTCGCCAGTGTGGCTTCCTGAAATGCTCTTGACTGGCCTGGACTCCCGTGCTGTCTGGGGCCGCTTTGGCATGTGCTTCTTCTCGCTTTGATCTCCGTCCTCCCGGTAGGATGCTTGGCTTACAGAAGATCTGCTACATGCATCCCGACCACCGGGGAGTGCCTGCGACCTTGGCTCCCGGGCACTCTGTGGCCGTAGAGGACCTTGCATGGCTTTGCGGGACGAAGAGGATGTTTCGGAATCTATCTGGGCCCAATTACAGTCATGCCTTGATCGACAGAAGTGCACACGACCCGTATAGATTTCCTATCTTTGCGGCCCTGTGAGATTGGAAACCCGATGTACATCGCTAACAAGCTAGCGGCTAGCGAACAAAACTGCAAGACTCGACATGAAGGCTTCACAAATGGGCACTATTCGCGGGTTCTGACGTATGCCTACACAACATAAGCCAACTGAATGTGACTGAACTGCTCATAAACTCACGTATCCCTCTGCACTCATTTGCCGGAGGAGCGTTGCAACGGAAAGCCGGCAGAGGTAGCTTGGAGAGGGTAGCCTGGGAGTGGGTGCCGTAAAATGCTGCGATCGAGACTAAACGATGGTAAGCAATAACACATCACAAAAAGGGTAAGCAGAATGTTGATAT